GTTTTTTTGTTTTGTTTTGTTTTTTACTAAATGGCCAATGGTCTGTTTTGATCAACACAAGTGGAGATGGGATGGGAAATACTGGTTCTGTGAAAACACCCCCTCGCCGTGAGCGGCTCATGCAGCTCCTCGCTTTATTTTCCAGTAAGTTATTTTGCTCTCACTGTTTAACAAAAACAAAAAAATAACAACATAAAAAAATCCTTGCATACCTTGTTGGATTGGAGAATTTTAATGTTTTTCATTTATCATTGTAAAACCCAGGACAATTTTATAACGTTTTTGTACGTAGCTGTTACATGGAGGGCAATCTGTCTTTAAGTAGGGGTAAAATTACTCTCCAAGAAGTAAAGCATAGTTTTCCCTTCAAGACAAGCGTCTTGTTGTTTAAATAAACTTCTTGTTTTAAAAAAAAACACAGCCAAAAAAAAGAACCATGCAAACTTCTTAGTTATAATCAAACACCTTGAGGTCCTGAATCACTGGGCTTGCCGACTGAGAACCATAATCTCAGGTAACGTCTAGGTCAAGTGGCATCATATAGTCCATAAAGACAAAGCTCAACACCCTACTTCAAAGCCTGTGAGCACCTGTCAAAAATAACAACGGCTGTCTTCCTTCCATTAGGGACAGAGAAAATTAACGACTCTAGACCACATGAACTACAGTCTCCGCTAGGCTGAGCCTGTAAGAACTACACAGTGGCCTGCTACCACTACCAAATACTATGATCACGGTCAAAACAATAACAAGTCCTGGACAGAGTAGAAGGAAAACATAGAACAAAACTTAAGATCCTAAGAAAGACCAGATTTACTGCTCTGATAGAGGCTGGTACAACTCCTAAAACTGGCCCTTAGACACCCTTCAAAACCAGAACGGAGCCTATTCCTAAATATCATCTTTCAGCCACACAAGACAGTCCATAGAGTGAACAGGTACACTTGTGAGGAATGTGTCTCTCAGAATAATCAACCAGTAAGAGGCCAAATTGGTACCCCCCTCCCCACAAAAAAAAAGGTTCAGAGGCTGAAAAAAATGGGTGAATGGAAACAGGACCCAAGGGAGACGTGGGAAGAGTACGTTATGTTGAGGGGATTGCAACAAAGACAATGAAACAAAATGTGTTTCAACCGTGCAACAGGAAACTAATTTGCTCTGCAGACTACCACACAAACAATCTAGCAGGATACAGCCACAGCCTGAGTCCAGGGGCAGCACCACTGGCCAATAGTGCCAATGGGTTGCTACTGAATTGTTCAGTTTAAGAAATTAGCATTGTTCCAGTTTTCTGTTCTTCAGGCAAATAAAAGGAACATGGATGGAGGAAAGATGGGGTGGTGGAATTCAATATACAGGAAAAGAGGACAAACAAACTCATTGGTTGTTGAAGACTGTCCACAACACGGCTCAGGAACAGATCATTGAGCACAACCGGAGAGGCCCACGGACACGTCACCTGAGGGCCGCAGCTGACACAGACAGCAGCCTGGCTTTTTAAAAATGCCCTCTACCTCAGATGGAGCGTGTGCGCTACAAAGTGACCGATGGCTGGCTGCTTCAGAAAAACCAGGACCACTGGAGCCCTGGTCCTGCGGGGCTTGTTTGCTGGCTCACAAACAGGCAGCAAACAGGTCAGGAAGCACATTAGTCAGTCAGTCGAGCTTTGCATGAATGTTACATGTCAAGCGTACCTAAAACAAGAGATTCTGGTCTGGCTGGGCTCTCCCTGTGAAGGTCTAGGCGGCCAGGACAAGAGGTCAGGGAGATGCCAGT